AGACGACACACAGCCTGCGCGTGGCGATAAATTTTTTTTTTCGTACATTTTGCCTTGCTGCTTGAATCGTTGAGTTTGTTAATCAAAATTGTAAAAGTGTTACAAACATAACTCGATAATAAAAAATTCCAATTCCATATTAGGGCTTTAATGCCCATATTGGGTGAATCGTCGTTATCAAAAATGATGCTTAGTACCGTTTTTATCACATCGAGAAACATACATAATTTATGCAATTCTTATTATTTAATTTCTTTAACCCTTGCATCACAGTGTGTCCGGTTACACCCTAAAAATTTTCTTCTGTACGCACAGAAAATTTAATAAAAGGATTTATAGATTACTATAGGTTACTCCGAACCTTTATTTATAGTAGATGGCACTCATACAAACCAGTCCCATATATTTTTCCATTTTTAGTTTTTTCAGACCTCATTTTTCAAAGAAATCTTCCAGATTTATTTTAGGTATAAAAGGAATTGTTTGAAAGAGATTTCTGTTATTTTTTTCTGTATGCTAACTCCTTATTCATATTAGTTTAAATTTTTTTACCTTGAAATCTTGCCTAAAATCAAACGGCGAACCCTAGGTCCCAGGCGGGGCTCGTCTGATTTTACACAACGGTCTGTATTCTTTGTTCCGCATCTCATCGGTTAGTTCATTGCAACATTCTCGTTTCAGACACTCTTTGAGCCTTTCAAATCAGTAGCACAAGAATTTAAGGTGCTATCTTCACAAATTTTACTTATTACTCTTCTAGGCCCTAATTAGACTGCTTTTTTTTTTTTTTTTTTTTTTTTTATCAAAACTCCGTCTTTAAAAGGTAGCGTACCGGAAAGGGTTAAGGTATGTGCCTACCCTAAAATCGTCGTTTTGGCGAAAATTTCCGAATTTTTTTTATTTATTCATTCTATAGGCCACACATTTAGGTTTCCAAAAATGCTTTATTTTTGTTTCTACGATAATTGGAAACAAAGTTATAGTATAAGTAATAAACCGGAAGTGAAGTTTTGGATGCCGGAAGTTGGCATTTAAAGTGTCATAAAGATGTGAACAATAAGTTTAAACAGCAATTTATAATTATTACACAATATAAAAGCTGTAAAAGCAGCGTATCTTTCACTGTGTGTCAAGAATTTGCTGGTAAATGCCAACATGGGACGACTCAGAACAATAATGAGTGTTTTAATAGCCTTTTGTGGACTATTTTACCTAAAGAAACTTTTTTCAACTGAAAACATTGCTTTTGGGTGCACATATTGCTGTATTATTATTTAATTCAGGATATTTAGGACTTTTACCTGCTTTTAGGTGTCTAGAAATAGAAATTAATTCCATTATGTTTGAAAGCTACATGGGAATAGACAAACAGTGAAATCAGAAATCAAAACGCCAATCTCTACGAGCAACAAAGTTATGCAGGAAAAAGTAAAAGAAAGTAAAAAATAGTTAAAATGAAGCAAAAGAGGACCTAACATACAAATATGGGCGAGTTTTAAAGGTCTAAAGTGGCTGCAAATTTTTTTGTGTTGTATTAAAATCTTTAAATGTATTTTCTGAGAAACTGTTTTTTTCGTTTTGATTGCTATTACGTTCATTTCTCAAAATGTATTTGGAATATTGAAATGAAATTTTGTCAAAATGTTTTATTCAGCTTTAGCTGTGTTCTGTGGCAAAATCTGGCCTCTTTTTATTTATTTATTGATTTTATTGACAGTATTTTGAAGAAAAGAGGGTTTTTGTTTTGTTTTGTTTTAATTTGTGAGTTTTTGTACAAAGTTTGAAATATTTAAACAAATTTTATAAGTACAGCTAATCTTTTGCTACAGAACACAAGTAAGTGTGTTATTCATATATTGTGTAAAGATTATTGAAGCATATTCATTAGAATTTATTATAGGAGATGTGGCGTAAATAAAAGTTTATCGTTAAAATGTTTCTAGATATTACCTATATTAAAAAAAATAATGAAAATTTCTGTAAAATCCCATTTGAATTCAGAGTTTTAGACCCCCTCTTACTCAAAAACGTGTTTTTTATTAAAATTTTATGTATTTTAAAAAAGTGCTTCGTATATAGGCACATACGTTAAATATAATACAGGGCTTTAATATTTGATGGCAACAATTTGAAAAGTGAACCAACATTATAGTGAATCAACGCAAAATGCCAAAACTAAATTAATAGTCCTTCCGGGAAAATTGCTCCTTTAGATAAAAAAAAAAAAAAAAAAAAAAAAAAAAAAAGAAACAGAAAAAATTTATGCGAACACTTTAGGCTTCATCGGGAACTCTAACGTATACTTCCATGGTACTTTTAACATTTTTGCAGTATACAGACAGCGTAAGTGCGAAGAAGATGATGCTTAGTAAAAATCTAAATAGACAAAAAAAAAAAAAAAAAAAAAAGGTTAATAGGAGCCAGTGTAACAGCAAACTAGTAGACTGAGAGCTCAGCCAGAGCGTAAAACCTTTTTGGATGACCGTTAAAAATCTGAAACTTTTTTTTTTTTTTTTTGGTGTGTGTGTGTGTGTGTAATACTGCTGTTAGCCATAGACAAGGAAAATGTTTCCAACGAGACGTTTACAAGACCCGAGTGCACAGGCAAATGATTGACTTTCAGAGAGGGCGTGTCACAGCCTTTCGGGAAACAAAGTGGTCAGTGGTCTCTGGTCACCGGGGGTGGTGACTCTGGCTGATCAGTTTGGTGGTGTAAAGTAGGAGTCTTCTTCATAAATCCGCTGACACGGGTGAGAACAAAGGGGGTGGACAAAGGAACTTATAATTTCATCTCTAAGGTGGCTTTAGACTAAAATGGCCTCCTGGTATTTAGTATGGTGACATTTCAGCTGGGATCCAGTTGTTTTAGTTGCATCAAGTTGCAGAAATGGCTATAAATATTGATTGATACCGCAAAATGGCTTGATGGGTCTGCCGATGGGCGAAAAGTCTCAGAGGTCACGTTTCGAGAATGTGCGCCTTGTCACAATCATAGCGATTATTACCATTTTCACCATTCAGAGGACGTAACATATTTTTCGCATACCATCTACCGCAATTTGCGTTATTCTGTTTGGTTGAAGGATTTTTACTTATATAATTTACTGATTGAAATGCGAAAAATCTTTTTTGTAAATTTATATTAAATACATTAGAACGCTCTGTGTAAATCAATTATTTTAAATTTATGAATTAAAATACAAACTTTCATTTTCTTTCTAACTAAAGTTATAAAGTTACGCCCTATGATAAGGGATCTTTGTGCGCCAAAATTTCTCTTTCCTGAGTTTATTAAAAAATTAAACCATAAGCTTTGCCCTCATGATGCATAAAATTCCTGTAGTCAAATGTGTAACTTTATTAAAGTTTTTTCAAAATAAAACTGGTATTTTCTAAAATGGACAGTTGAAATCCTGTTATTTCGCGCAAAATAATAGTCATGTTTAGTGGGTTAACATATTTCTGAGAGCGCTTAATGATATCACGGAACTATTACTGTTACGTTCGCAACAGATGAGAACATATACATCGCTATTATGTTTTTAAATTATTCTCTCTTATAAGTTTTCGTTGTAGTTTCCCAAACTAATATTCCTTTTGTTTGTTAAATGAATTATTATAAATTTTCGTTGCATTGATTTGATTTTCAGTTATTTTCGCTGTCAGGTTTACAGCTACGAAAAAAAAAAGTTTACTTAATTTTTTAAAAACTAGTATCAATTTTCGTTTTGTTGTTTCGTTTAAAAAATCAAAAAAGAAATGTACTTTTTAATTTTATTTTTGAAAACCCAGCTTTGATTTCTGTCAGTGATGAAAACAATTTTGTAAAATAATTACACCAAAAAATTATTATGAGTAAGTTTTTCACAGTAATATTTTAAATTTAAAGTAAAACTCTTTGCAATAAAAATACAATGAGTTTTGTGAAACTGCTTTCGATCATTTCTTCTATTTATCATTAAAATACGGATGCGAGATACGGACGTTTACGACTCATTTATAAACGAGTGTTGTCATGTTTATCCTCCTCCTCGTATCATAATTATATATATCTAAAATGCCTAAATTAGTGCACAGGTGCTTTACTTTAAATCATCAGTTTTCACTTATAGTAAGAATGCTTACAAGATTCAACAACGAGCAACAATTTAAGAAGAAAATCATTATCTAAATAATACACTCAGACGCAAAAAGCATACGAAGCTTTAAAACTGAGCAACAGTTGCAAAACCCAGTACGTATGGCAATACATATCAGCATAAATATATATGTATCAGCAGATATACATTACATATCGAAAATTCTTGTGCGTACCGACATTAAGGATATGAAATCAGTTATTGACATCTTTGATTTACTAAGGTGTTGAGTATGAATACTTCCAATTCGTTTCCTTTTAAACTGCTTTTTAACTTCAACGATCTTCCAATGAGCCAGGAACTCATTACTCGTTATTGTTCGCTTTTCGTTATCGCTTTCACCTATTCAAAGGAATCTTCTTAATGCTGAGAGTCACTACAATTGTTCCGATTCCCATTCTTTGCAATTAAAACAGCGTCTTATAAACATTATGCAAAAAAATAAATTGTAGTTGCTGAAATTGAGCAATTTCTCTAGAAGTAATAAACTTGTTAGAATGCAGCTGTTAGTAAGGGTCACTTCTTGAAATAATCCTTCAATAAAAGAAATGAAACTATATGAAAGCTCACTGGTATTGTACTTCTGTCATGAGAATTCGAGTAGTCTTTTGAGCTGTTTTATGTTTTCATATCACATTCATGCAATTTTAATTGGGAAAATTATGCTTTTTATAAAAAATTTTAAATAACTCACACTTTAATGAACACAGTGTGATAGACGCTGTATTATTTACAATCAACTGAACAGCGAATATTTATAAGCTTCTGTAACTGACTGTATAAAAAAAATATTAGTAAGATGTTTACGAAGTTTCGAATATGCTAGGTGTCTGTTTTATGTTAGCTCTAAAAGCACCTGAGCAAATTTAAAATAACTTTTATTTTGAAATCAAAAAGTACAAAATATTAGAGAAGAATTTGTTTTGGAGTAACAAATATTTACAAAATAATTTTTACTGTAAATACCTTAGTTTTAACAACTAATACAATTTCACATTTTTCTCATAACCGCCCAGACTTCGATATATCGCAATACTCTAACCATTGTACTATAAATAATTTAAATATAAACAATTAATTTAAATTTAAATTGTGACAAAAACATAACTAAACGTTAAAGCAAATCTCTACTTAAGATTACAATTGTCAAATTTCTCATTTCATGGTATTGCATTACCTGATAATTGAGGCTGCAGTATTTACATTATTTGTGAACCTGAAATTATTACTCATGCCTGAAATTATTACCTTAAAAATGTACACAAACTTAGACATCAATATTATACATAGCTACAAAGGACTGCTCTAATACTGGTTTCTGCTGTGCTTGTAAAATCTGAATGGCATGCAGACGGTAATTCTCTTTCCATTCAGAAAAAGAGATTCTGCTACACATTCTTTTTATTTACACATTTTCTTTACAATTCTATACTGCAGATTAAAATATTGATAGAATACGTTACGGACGGTCAACTGTGAAGAGAAGAGGTTTTATTTAGAAAATTTGGTAAATTCATTTATAATTTCAAAATATATCATGAATACAAATGTAGCAATATAGTGTTAAAATTGCTGTACAAATTTTAATGTGAAATTTTAAAAATAATAGTCAATAAAACTAATTCTGATATAAAAATGTTCATCTAATTTTTAATTCTTCTTTAATTTTCAATATTTGTACTTTAAAATTTCAATATTAATTTTTAGACGAAAGAAAACATTAATGTGTTTTGGAAGGAGATAATAATCAATGCATATGAAATGTTAATGATTTTATAAAAGACAGGAAATTTAAAATGCAAGCTAATGGATAAAATGCTACAAAACTCTTAATATCGTTTTTATCAAAATGACAATATGAATTTCACTATACGGCCATTTGGATATCGTACTTTAGAGATAAAAGAAAATAATTAAAACCCTACTTCCGTTAATAAAATGTTTTAGATTACGGAAGATCGTAATTCTATTTAAAGAAAAAAGAAATTATTCTTCTGGCAAAATATTTATATAAAGACAAAGAAATAGTTTTAATATCCGTTCGTTCCTAAGCAGTTAGCACCTTTCTTAAAACTGAGACATTTCTCCAAAAGTATTGGTTTTTTCCACAGTTTTTGTTTCATCTGAAGTTGGCATGATGCTTTTGATTGCTTATTTTTTGTTTTTATCGCTTAACTTTCTGCTGTTCGATGTTATTCTTTCGAATGGGGTGAACTCGGCAAGAACATCCAGCTGGGAACTTGAAGAGCGCAACAACGGGGCTGCGGTTGGGGTCCTGAGGGTACACAGCAAGGAGACGATGCAAACTGTATCTCTGTTGGCACACTGAGTCGTAGAATGGGGATATGAAAGAGCAAGGCTCGTTGGGATGCCTGAAAGAAAAATTATATGTTATTATCATAATTTTCTAGTATGACTTTAAGACATCAGCAGAAACATGCGCAATATATAACACTATGTAAAATATACTTCTGGAAGTCACTTTTACTAGATTCTAATTACTGCAGCCTGAGATACCGAAAGTCAGATGGTACGAAATTATTACAAGTGATACATCGGACTTTGATGTCCTATAATTTCCCAGTTATGGATCTCATCAGTTCTTAACATTCACGCAAAACAACAAAAAAAGGAAAGTTAAGTTTCTGAATTCGCGTGTTCAAGCCTTTTTTATATCTTGTGTAAGTTCCTTTTTTATATTCTAATATTAAGATCCATTTTTTAAAATGGCGAGTTTTTCGGTAGAAATTGTTTTGTGTTTTAGAATATACAAGGCATTTTCCATTGTTACCATTATATATATATATATATATAATATAGTCTCAGAATTTAATTTTTAATACATATAAATTTATACATCAATAAATAATACAAATTTTTGAAGTTACATAAATAGATGTATAAATACAAATATATATATTTTGTATTATACACATATATATGTATTATATATATAAATATAGTCTTAGGATTTAATTTTAAATACATATAAATTTATACATAAATAAATAATATAAATTTTAGAATTTAATTTTGAATAGACACTTTTGGCGTTATCTAAAAGGCGAATATATTAAGAGTTATAAATCCCCACTCATGCAAAAAAGAATTGCTATATTTTTTTTAATGAACTTCGTACTTTTGATGAAACGACACTTATTTCTTTTTCTTCGCCTCTCCCCCCCGCTAAGTCTGCGAAAATGGTACAAGTCACATAAAATTATTAACTGTAATTTCGACAAATTTTCTTGGGGCAATTTTGCGGTTATTTTATAGGATACTTAGTTAACAATCGTTTGAATTTCTTTAGTTGTTTGATTTATATTTGGGTAAAGTATTACGTTGTTAAGTTTATGTTCATATGCTTATAACGAAACATATTGCAATTTCCAGTTGCTAGATACTTATTTTCTATCATTCGATTTCATTAAATTTAATAGTTAGATGCATTCTTTATATCTGCTATTGAAAGAATAGGTAAACATATAGTCGAAGTCGTTATAACAAGCTATTATGGCGACCGTTCCATACCAATGAGGGGTGCAAAGACACTTTATGAGGTATTTCTTCCGCCTTCGTGGTGTAGTGGTCAGCACGCTCCACACATATCCGACAGGTCAATGGTTCGAGTCCCGGCGAAGGCATTGCTCATTTTTCATCTCTTATGCTTTCAAAAAAATGCCTGATATCTCTACAACTTCGTGAAATCCATTTCCAATATAGCCAATCTCGTCCTTTTTCCTTTGCCTTTAGGTTGCGAAAGTCGCAATGACAAACATAACTCATATAACCTATTTGCAAATAATTTTTTTTTAAATTTACCTATAATGAAGTTACTTTTTAAAATAACTTTTAAACAAAAATTTTTCCTTTCAAACATTCGAGCTTAAACAGTACTGAAATGCACTTACCTGCAACTTTCTGTCCTGACTTTCTGGGGGAAAAGATCGGTGTTAATAATAACCAACCAGTCTCCAGAGACGCTTTCCTGTGCCCAACCTGGTCTCATGATGTTGGCTTCGGTTTCACAAGCAAAGCTACCACGTGCAGCAGGACTGTCACCGTATTGGTCCTTGAAGAGTTCTGGATCACCAACCGTTTGTAGCTCCTCATACATTATACGAACTTTACTGATACTCTTGTCCACCACTCTGTTCACAAAATCTCTGCAAAAATAAAAAATGTGTCAATTTTTCTCTTCAAGTACGTTGCTGACTTCGTAATCCTTTCAATACTTTTATGCATGTTTCCATCACTTTACCATAGTTTCTCCTAACAGCATCTCTCTCTCTCTATATATATATCGCATATGTAGGCAAGTATGTATTTCTGTCGAATATGTTGATATATATATATATAGAGAGAGAGAGATACATATATACAGATATAGAACGTACACATAAAGTGTACGTTCGCGCCTTTTGAAAACATATCACTTTTACTCCTGTACCTTCCTGACTTTTTTTACCGGAGAAATATTTCATCAACCAGTGCCTACATCTACTTTGAATTAGAAGACGTTCTGTATTATCATTCCAAATGTGTATTAACAAACGACCTCCATTTTGGCTATCCATCTCGAAAAACTCGAAAAATTTCTCATAAATAGTAGCAAATGTAGACACAGATTTATGCAATCCTTAATGACCCTAATGCTTTATTTTCTTCCCCGTCTTCACATGTTGCCTCACGCCTATAATACATAATCTTCAAAATGATCCGGCTTTCATGTTACAAGTTACTTCCATAACCTATATTTCAGACAAGTAATCATAATAACTATTATAAGCATCGGATTTTCGAAATTTCAAGGGAAATTTCGAAAATATGCAACTTTTTCGTTCTTAAAAATTTGCTCAGCTACTAACGCTGAGGAAGCATTGCACCCTGAAAGAATGCTGTACTCACAGAAAATTGCTGTTGAAAGGCAGCCCCTGTTGACCTTACGGTAATACACTAGTGTCCTTGGCTGCTGTTAGTTATAAACTATTTATATAAAAAGCCATTCGCTTTACCTACAATAACACTACATTAATATAGTTCACAGATGTTACGAAATTAGTTTTAAATGTCGTAGAAAATGAAAAGGAAATCTTCAAAATGAACTAGGTTAATCCATCAAAAACCATCAATTGAAGTATTTATCTCAAGAATGAAGTTTCTAGTGGCAAAATTACGGAAGCCAAATTCATAGTAGTAGAAAACATGTACACATTTATTTCTAAAAAAAAAAAAGGAGCAATTTTCTTAGTTGTGAAATCAGGAAATCTAGTTCAAAAGACATCTTAATGTTTTTAAATAAAATTTATTCTAATTAAATTCTTTTGCATAATTCAATGAGATGAGGTTAGTAGTTTTTAACTGGAATATTTTAATACCGACAAACGGAATTAAAATGACTTATTTAAGCAGTATGTGTGTTTAACTTAAAATACTGAATACTCAATTAGAGCAAATTTACTTACGCAGGATAATCGTCAGTAAGAATGCAAAAGTTTTTCCCATCCAATGCACACGGAGGCATAGATCCATCCGGTCTCGGTCGGTCTGGTCTGGGAACTTTCTGTGGAGGTCCTTCTGAGACACAGTCTTCTTCAGGTGGTGACTTGACTGGAGGTTTTGGTGGTGGCGGTCCATCTGGCGGTATTGTCGATGGAGGCAGCCTTATTAGTGGCTGTAGTGGAGGTGGTGGGGGTTTTACTGGCGTTCTAGTAGGCAGTGGTGTTGGCTTTGTGGTAGGAGGCTGTCTTACTGGTGGCCTTGTTGGTGGAGGTCTAACGGATGGTCTAGTTGGCACCGGTGAAGGTGGACGTCTTGCTGGTGGTCTAGTTGAAGGGGGTGGAGATGGTCTTACTTGGGGTCTAATTGGAGGAGGAGATGGCGGGCGTATATCTTGGGGAGGTTTCACTGGGGGTCTCGGTGGAGGAGGTTTTACTGTTGTTCTCTTTGGAGGAGAAGACGGTTTTACTGGTGGTCTAGTTGCAGGAGGAGGTGGGGAATTAGTAACTACTTGTGGCTTTAATGGTGGTACTGTTGGAGGAGGCCTTTTCGGTGGCCTTCTTGTAGTAAGTGGTGGAGATGGTCTTACGGGAGGCCTTTTTGGAGGTGGAGGTTGTTTTACTAATGGTTTTACTGGTGGAATTGTTGAAGGAGGAGATGGTTTTACTGGTGGTCTAGTTGGAGGGGGAGTTGGAAAACTTGTAACTACTTGTGGCCTAACTGGTGGTTTTGTTGGACGAGGAGGTGTTTTTGGTGGTCTTCTAGGAGAAGGTGGTGAGGATGGTCTTACAGGAGGTGGAGGTTGCAGACGTGGAGGTTGATTTACTAGGGGTGTAGTAGGAGGAGGTGATGGGGGTTTTATAACCGGTTGTGGCTTTATAGGGGGTTTTGTTGGAGGAGGTTTGACTGATGGAGTTGGTGGTGGAGGTGATCTTATTGGCGGTCTTGTTGGAGGTGGAGCTGGAGGGAGAGTTTGTTTCACTGGAGGTCTAGTAGGTGTTGGGGGAGATGGTTTTGTAACTGGCGGTGGTCTTACTGGAGTTGTTCGAGGAGGTGGTGATGGAGGTGTGGAACTTATTAATGGTCCAGTAGGCGGAGGTGATGGCGGTCTTACTGGGGGTCTTCTTGGTGAAGGTGGTCTCACTGGAGGTCTACTAGAAGGTGGCGATGGAGGTCTGGTAGCAGGTGGTGGCCTTATTGAAGGAGGAGTTCTTACTGGTGGTCTTGCTGGAGGAGGTGGTCTTAGTGGAGGTCTCGTTGGAGAAGGGGTTGGTGGAAGGGATGATATTCGCACTGGAGGTCTAGTAGGTGGGGGTGGTGATGGCCTTGTAACTGGCGGTTGTCTTACTGGAGGTCTTGTTGCAGGAGGTATTGGCGGAATTGAAGAGTATTTGACTGGTGGTTTAGGAGGAGGTGGTGGAGGCCGAGTAACTAGCGGTGGTCTTGTTGGAGGTCTTGCTGGTGGAGGGATTCTTACTGTCGGTTTAGTAGGAGGAGGTGATGGGCGTCTTGTAACTTGAGGTGGTTTTGTTGAAGGTGTAGGTCTTACAGGTGGCTTGGTTGAAAGAGTTGGTGGTTGTGGAGGTAAAGATGTTAGCACTGGAGGTGGTCTTGTTGCTGGTGGTAATCTTACTGGAGGTGTTCCTGGAGGAGAAGGTGGAGGTGATCTTACTGGTGGTCTAGTAGGGCGAGGTGATGGAGGCTGAGTAACTGCCGGCGGACTTATTGGTATTTTTGGTGAAGGAGTTCTTACCGTTTGTCTTGTAGGAGGTGGTCTTACTGGCGGTCCAGTGGGAGGATATGGTGGCGGCGGCCTTACTGGTGGTCTTGTTGATGGAGGAATTCTTACTGTAGGCCTAGTTGGAGGTGGGGATTTTACTGGTGGACTAGTAGTTACGCGTGTGGGAGGCCTTACAACTGGCGGTGGTCGTACTGGAGGTCTTGGAGCAGGAGGTGGTTTCGAAGGTAAGAATGGTTTTATTGGCGGAGTACTCGGAGGAGGTGGTGATTGTCTAATAGGTGGAGGTGCTTGTGGCGTTGTAACTGGAGGTGGTGGAGGTGGCGGAGGTGGTAGAGGTGGTGGTGGTCTTACTGGAGGTGTTGGTGGATGTGTTGGAGGTATTTTTACTGGCGGACTAGTAGGTGGTGGTGGTGGTGATCTTACAGGAGGTTTTGTTGGAGGAGGTGCTGGTTTTGTAACTAATGGTGGTGAAGTAGATCGCACTGGAGGTTTAGTGGAAGGAGGTGGTAATCTTCTGGGGGGTGGATCTGGGACTGGAGGTGGATGCCTAACTAGTTGTGTTGTTGTTGGAGGTCGAACAGGAGGCTTTCTAGCTGGAGGTCTTGGACGACGAGGAGGGGATCTGGTGGCAGTTGATGGCCTTATTGGAGGACTAGTAACAGGTGTTTGAGAAGAAGGTTGAATAGGTGGCCTTGTAGGTGGAGGCCTCTCTGCAGGCGTAGTAGGTGGCACTGGTGTAGTACCATTTAGAAGACAAGGGCATGGTAGTCTATTTCCGTTCTCATCTGTTGGATATATGAGAGGACGGACAGTTGGATCTGTCACTTCACCAATATATTTTTGCCACCATTCTCTCCACCACCCACTATTATGTTCATTGTGGCCAGCAAAATGTCCAGTTCCATTGAACTTACTAACTTGTCCACCGAAAAGACTGCTTCCTATGAATTTGCTTTCGCTGGCCTCTTTAACAACTGTTTTATCTTGACTTATTTCCTTACCATCAAGAAGTGCAAGAGAGTAGAGCAAAGAGAATAATACGATATCAAATGTCCATTTCTGTAAATATCAGAAATGAATAAATAAAAAAAATAAAATAGCTTTATGTAAAACATTTTTTTTTTAAATTTGTGAAAAAAATATTGGTGACTTTAATAACGCTATACGTAGAATAAAAATAATTGTTAAGTCAAAATATTAAAATTACATTTGTAAATAGTTTTAAAGTAGAATGAATTCGAAATAAAATATAATATTTCAATGTAAATACTGTTGGTATTCATAGGAAGTAAAAAGTGCGTTAAAGTCAAATGTACGCTATCAAACATCTGCATGTGTATTATGTGCACCGCGCAAAAAAATAAAATGGCATACATCTATATCTCCTGTTCTACTGGGCCAATTGACAAAATTCAAATTGCGTTTCTCAGGTCTCGAAAGTGCGAATTAGGATATATATTAGATTTATATACAGCCATTGTTCTACGATAGGTATTTTGACACAGAATCGGACTTTCTGAAATGACGGGCCAATTTTTTTCCATATTTCGATTCTACGACTGAAATTATGCCTAAATATTAAATTTTGTAAAATTTGTTGCCACATTTACGGAGAAATTCAAAAATTTAACTTGGCATATTTTTTCCAGTTTGCACTAAGAATAATTCACTTGGCGAAATTCTTAATTTATAGTAACCTACTTACTTTCCTTTTTTTTTTTTTTTTTTTCATTAATGCACGAGAGGAAGAAGTTTCCATCATTCATTCTTTCAAATAATTTTAACAAATTTCCATTGTTCATTCTTTCAAATAATTTTAACAAATTTCCATTGATCATTCTTTCAAATAATTTTAACAAAGTGCGTAAACCACATTGGCGTTGTTATCGCTGATATTAAATACGCCAAATTTCAAAACGCGCTAAAATATAAATTCACGTGTATCTTAGGAAATTTAGAATAAAAAACTCTAATTGTTTGCAGATATGCTTAGAAATACATGTACTTTAAGATGATGTTAAAAAGTTTATAGGTTACACTATAAAAAGTTTTTCCAAAAATGTATAAAAAATATTTAAAAATACAAACTTTTAAAACAAATAATAAAAAATGGGCGAATTATATTTGGATTAAAACTAAATTTCGTATTCTGGAAGAAGGAATCAAGTCAGTTTAATACAAAAGAGATATGAATAAATATATGTCGAATTTAATTAACATTGAGAAGCTAAAATTTTTAAAGCTAGTTTTTTAAAATCTACACGTGCGATTTTTACAAAGCTTGGCAGTTTGACATAATTTGAGTCGTAGAATCGAAATATGGAGAAATATTTGGCATGTCATTTCAGAAAAAGTCCGGTTTTGTGCCAAAATACCTATATTAGATTGATGCAATATATAAATCTAATACATATCCTAAGTCGCGCTTTCGGACATGGAAAACGTAAGCTGAATTTCGTCAACTGGCCCAAAAGAACGGAAGATATAGAACTGTCCCGTTTTTTTCCCGCAGTGTACCTATGCACTGTATATTGCCAGATAACCACATAAAACAGTGGCTTCATTGGTTCAAAATGATTCACTGTTCATTAATAACAATAAGGTTTTTTAATCTTGTTACGAGCCGCAGAATGGAAACTCGAAGACCCAGTGCGGCTCACGGGACGTCAACTGTTCACCACTGATATAAAGTATGTATTTTCGATATAAGCATCATTATTTTTTAGGACTACTGGCAGTATAAAATAACAAATTACTAATTTATCATTTATTTAATTATCGTATGAAAGCTTCCTGCACTTTATGCACAGAAATTCTTCGAATTTTTTATTGATGACTTTAAATGTTTCATTGCGCTTTTAATGATATTTTGTATTTCCTTGTATCTCCCATAGCAAGTATAAAATAAAATTTTCGTGACTTTCAACTAAGAAGATAATTATAAAAATTCTAGAGAAACACAAATGTCAATTTTATTCCATTAATAAACGTATGGGTACTTATTTATGCCCATATATAATATATATATATATATGCCCATATAAAATATATATATAATTTTGCCTTTTATTTTCATAATCCTCGTTATAAAACCATGCACATTATGATGAAAGAGATCGATAAACAAAGAATCTAAACAAATAAGAGATCTTAAATGTCACGAATTGGTAACAGAATGCCCTTGTGTTTCCGATCTTTATTTGTAACATACAAGATACTATCATTTTAAACAACCGAACTACATCTTTGATTTTTATCTGCTGTTTGTTTAGCATTTTAATGCTGTAATTTTAATGACTAATTATATCTTTAAAAATTAGGCGTGATAAAACATTTCTCAATTTCAAAAAACAATTCAAAAACAAATTCAAAAAACTGCAAGGTTGGTTTTCGTGGGTTTACTGCATGTTTAATAAGAATGACAGCCAGTTTCCGTCCGAAAGTACTCCATGAAGGTAACACTCTCCTCGGGCAGATAGATCTTTTTTCCATGTTCAAATAACTTAACATTAGTTCCCTCCAAATTTCATCGCTAAAATATCCTTTTATACATGGCAGTACTAGAATTACGAAATATAAATTAGACTCATAGACCAGAAAACTCTAAAAGTGATTTCTGTTGAAAGTTTAGATCAACAGCAAATACTAATTGCCTTTTTTTACGATTTGGATAAATTTACGATTTTGATAAAATTTAAACCAGTAAGTAATAAGTAACGCTTTCTAGTTTTTATAGCTTTCGTACATGCAACTTAACCATATGAAAGATATGTAATTTTTAAACCTTATTTGAACATGTAATATTTCTAAATATATGAATAAAACATATCTTAAAGGACTATAAGGACCACAGAACTTTATTGAGGAAATAGCTAATTTTGCATGCATTCTTATCGAAAAGAACACTAATACTTCTACAATTCTTATCGGTTATAGGTGAATGAATTTTCAAATCTAACTCGTAGTTTGTTTAGAATGACTAGTATAATCTCTTCCCAAATATGGAATCTAAATTCGTCGAATAAATAATATTTTCAAGAAATTTGATCAAAACTTGTCAGATAAGTTGTGAGCAGGAAAATCTTATTGTTAAGCTTTCTGATTTTTCATCAAGAACCGAGTAACCTGGTAAATTGATGCCTAAACATTCTGTATATTTGACTTCCTCGATAACTTTAGCCTTTCTGTTTCAACCAGAATGAAGTTTTCTCACATCAGTCCACTGGCTCCTCAAACGTAATTTTTTGCATCATGACTCTCCGCTTAATTTAGTTACCTTGTTCTCACTTGTTGACTGCTTTGTAAATTTCAGATCACATTTAGCCTTGGTTACCCATAGATTCTGTATGTCATTAAAAAGTAGTTTCTTTTTATGCATACAAAAGAACAGAATGATTTAATTTAAGGTAGCTTACCATAAATTACGCGAATGAACACGAAACATTATATACAACTTTTTGCGGTGATGCTGAAATTACATTAGGTATTCATTTCGTCTGAATTCAAAATAGTTAAACTGATGTGAAACATTAAAAAATTACTATCAGAATTAACTTAAAATATCCTCTTCTATAATTTATAAATATTTTAAAGTAAATTTCTGTAATTCTGTGAGAATAAATTAGTGTCACTTTTGCATAATGAAACTCAGCAACGTCAAAAACAAACGAATACCAAACGATATATTGGCGAGAAAGGATTCTACTTTTTGTTCAGAAGATTTTGTGCTAGCGTTGTATTCTCTTCAGCATGTTAAATTATTTTATGGAATATACTCCTGATAATATTGCCTAATAGGTAATCCTAAAGCTATTTAAAACTTATAAATGATTTCCTGTATATTCTTTCAACACTTCTCTTTAAATGTTTGTAAAGACTGTTAACTTTTATTTGTATTCTATTTGAGCTAAGCAAAGCCTCTGCCTTATTAAATAAAAATTTCATACTTATTCTAACTTATGATTCTTTAATAAAACTGTGCTAAATAGAGAATAGTGTACTCAAACGCCTTAACCGTGTTAAATGCACGACATATCAATTTCTTTACAGAATTATGTTTTATTGCAAGTAGTGCCAACTTCCTATAATAAATTTATGAGTCCCCCCTCCAAAAATTGTAGCAAGTTTTGTTTTACGGAGAGAAACTTCCCTCTTTTAACTCTTTTCAACTTGACGAAAGGAGTATATTTCATGAAATTATAAAAATAGGAAATATTATTATTCGTCTGTTAGTATCAACTTTTACCATAAACTGCACTGGAGAAAAATATAATATCATTATTATTTTTTAACTTATGATCAAGTGACTTTATAACGATATTTTAATTAATATCATAATAGAAAATATGAATTTTCAAATAGTAAAAACTGAAAAAATTACACCTGAAACGAACTTTTATCTATTTGTAATCAATTAAGCAAAGTCATATGGATAAATAGAAGATATCTTCCAATATTCATTTAAGCAAATTTATTACATAATCTCGAACTGTGATAAACGTTGTTTAAATAGAAAAAAAAAAAAAAAAAAAAAGCGCAAACATAAAACTTAGAATGAGGGAAACAAAGAGCTTTGGATTGGTTAAATTTACAAAAAACTTGGGTTTTATTTGAAACCTGCATCGGTTTAATGTGTTTGTTGTTTTTCCCCAATTTTAAACTGATTAATTATTAATGCAAACTGATGTCAATATCCTTGCATTCATATCCTCAGCATCATTAATAACTTTTATACTTTTACATATTAATATCGATATTCAAAGAATCATGTTGAAAAAACTTAATAGCATCGAAAAGAATATTTCATTTGTAATTTCTAAATCTCGTACATTTTTAATTAATTACTTATGATTCACTATCTTTTATATCCGCTGCATCTTAAAAATTATTATTTATTTTTCAATTCAATAAAAACCTCTACGGAAGTGTATAAGTTGAAAATTTTCGAATAGTCAGTAAAATGTTCAGTAAAACTCAATAAATGAAGCCATTAATAAAACTTTCACTACATTTCATTAATATAAGCAATAAATAAAATTAAGTAAATCAAATAAATTTTC